AAATGTATTAGTTTAAATTTTATGTTTGATTAAATAATTATATCATTAATAAATGTATAGTAAATCGTAATGATGTACAAGTGGATTACCGTGGCGATAGTGGTACTACAGATTGTGGTATTACGTTAGTTGGTAGTGAAGTTGACATTGGGATAGGTGGCACGTAATATGGTGGATTAAATAGCCCATTTGAATATCTCCTATTTGATTTTCTCATACATAGTAATATAAAGATGATGATTAGTGCTATATAAAGATACCAGTAAATGGATATACATAAAAAAACATCTAGAAGAAGCATATGCTTCTCATTATTCGTCATCCGCGTTACAATTACAAATAAATTCAATTAAAATGAACGAAAACGAAAACGTTAAGTCATACACAGATAGGCTAGAAAAATTATACTATCAACTCGCGAATTTATATACAACAGGAAAAAACGAAAACGATGCAAAAGCAATAACAAAACAGTTAGCTGAGCAAACTCTAGCATTATACATAAAGGGATTTATCAAACCAATTAGAACCACATTACGTAGTAGAGACCCAAAAACACTTGAACAAGCAAAATCAATTGCTTTACAAGAAGAGCTCAATTTAGCAGAAGATATAGATAGAGATAACTTCATCACTAATTTAACACAAAAAAGCAAAACTAATTTAAATATAAATATTAATCAAAACTATAACAGTCATCCCGCACAACAACGAAATTATAATCAAAGAAACTTTAATCCACGATTTAATAACAATTTTAATAATCGCGAATTTTTTCCAAAAAACACGCAACAGCAACAATTTAATAACCATAATTATAATAATCAACCACACAATTCGAAAAATAATAGAAATCATAATGCCTCACAACAAAATTATAAAAGAAACTATAACAATAACACACCAAACCAAAATTATAATAATCCTAACAATAATCGAAACAATTATTCAATGCAAAATCACAACAGAAATAACGGTCAATATAATAATAATCGAAATAATTATAATCAGAGTTCATCTAACAGTAATCAACCACCTCAACGCAATGAATTGAATAATATTGATAATAATAATAGGCCTCCCATACGAAACGAACTAATAATGTGTTCTTATTGTGGCAAACGAGGTCATTCGATGGACGTTTGCTACTTTAGACAAAAAGACGCCGCACGTCAATATACTAATTCGGGAAATGCCACACCGTACTCACAACGCGCGCCGCGTACGGTACAACAAATTCAATGCGCGACCGAGAATTACAACGAAACACCGATAACGAACAATCAATACGAAACTGTTCTCACATCCTATCAACAATAATCGATAATCATATAAAATGTAAATCTAGCGCATGTAACATTTACTACGTTTACATGCATCCATTAATTCGTATTAATTTGATTCGTATTGAATCAATTCGAATTAGGTCACAAGTATACATACTATAGTAATACCGTATTAGGATAATACACTTCCACCAAACCAGTTTACGTGGCAACGTTTACATGCACAGTTTAAACCGATTTACCTTAATATTCGAATTAATAATTTCATTTTTTCCCTCCAATTTATTCAGTGATATTCTATTGATAACAATTATGTGATAATATTATTATAATTTAATATTTATTATTAATAGTTATTAGTTAAAGACGTTAAAGTAAAAAATTTTTAGAACTTTGTTTTATTGTTTAATGTGTAGAATTTTGTAAAATTCTATGAAGTATGTCTTCTTCTAACTATTTACAATTGTTACAAATGATGGAATTACTACGAATGAATTTAAAACAACAAAATAAAAGACGTAACAAACTGAGACGCTTAGTTATAAAAAAGCGAAGGGACTTCAAAATTAAGTTATGTGACGACTTAAAAAAAATGAATCTACATTATCGTCAACAAATACTTGATAGCTATAGATTAAGTATTGGACCTTTATTAAATGGACCACGTATAAGAAGTTTATGGATGAAAAAACGTTCTAGTGACTGGTGGTTGGAAATAGTTAATGTCCAGTTTAGAAAAGAAGACTGGATCGAAAATTTTCGTATGACAAAAGAAACATTTGAAAAGATTGTCAAGTATGTTTGTATTAAATAAATAATATCTATAAAATCTACTTGAATTTAAATTGACTGCCTACTTAATCCCTCACTAATTAATAAATATTATCACAGATACAGAATAATCAATAAATTAATGAAAATTATCATTTATTATAACCACGAAGATTATAACCAAGGTGGATCTATATATATAATCTATATATAGATCCACCTTGATTATAAATTTAATAATTGATAACGTGTATTATACCTTATCACAACAAATTACCGCAATCCTGATTCGGTTGTTGTAGTATCATCCGTTTATATGCATTTTGAACTCCCGTAGTTATTTCCAATGCGCATTTCAAATGTGAATTAACTAAACCGTTTTAGGTAAACCGAATTGGTATAAAACTGAATTAACAGTCGTTTACATGCATTTAACTCCAGGAGTTAACTAATTCGAATTGAGTTAAATCGGTTTTAACTGTGCATGTAACCGCGGTACATAATAATATTAAACTAACCGACTTACATAAAATAACGAAATCCCTGGACGAAGTAGAAGCAATGGCTGACGCTGAATTAGATAAAGAAAACAATTATGTGAGAATACAACATAATAACTATGCCATGTATATAATAATAGGTATAATAACGATAGCACTAATCATCATCTTTATATTTTAAACATTCGGCTGGTTTTCCCGAGAGTTTAGTTAATATGTATCGTATAAGTAAGGGTACATTAATTAAATCTACAGAATTTACGGCGATATCACAAGCGTTTATAAATTGGGTTATGTTTTCCTCTCCCGAACAATAAGGAATAAATTTAAAAGCTTTGTCTATTGCCATAGTAGTAGGTATTTCTGATATGACTGTTGGGCTAGTCATTTTTTTATTTTGTCGTTTAGGTGTTTTTAAAAATAGAGGTTCTATCGGGCCTTTACTCCTAGTCACTATTTGAGGTGGACTAATTAATAAACTTTTTTCGAGTTCTTTAATTCTATTCTCCCTTTTTAATTGTTCCTCTTATATGCTTAAGTTGTTTGGTTTTATGTCTAAATTGGGTGTGCCTTCTGTCGAGTTTTTAGTTGGTGGTTGCTCTAGATTTGCAAGTTCTAGAGGAGACGTATCGCTAATATCAGTATAGTCGTTTTCATACATATGAGTTGTAATATTGTTTATGTTAGTTTAACATAATAAATTTGAGATTTCAATAATAATAAATAAGTTTCAATAATAATTCACAATAATAGTTTTCAATAATAGAATTTAATAAAATTCTCAATAGAATGCAATAAATTCTTCAATAATAAGCTTTCTCAATAATAATCTCTTTCGATAATATATATTTTATATATTATATAAGCTGCATACACCAGTAATACATTCAATAATAATTCTCAATAAAATGCAATAAATTCTTCAATAATAAGCTTTCTCAATAATAATCTCTTTCGATAATATATATTTTATATATTATATAAGCTGCATACACCAGTAATACATTCAATAATAATTCTCAATAAATCTCAATAATAATTTTCAATAATAAATCTCAATAGTAAATCTCAATAATGATTTTCAATAAATCTCAATAATAATTCTCAATAATATTTTTCAATAGTTTCAATAATAATTTTATTACAACTCATATGTAATATTAAAATAGGTTAACCTGGTATGATGTAATGTGTACGTACACGGTCTTGATTTGTTATATTTTATAATTATAATCGTATGCTTACGCCAAGATGACTCGTGGAGTTGTCATATTTTAAAGGATGTAAGTGAGTGTTGATTGATGTTGATTGTTTGATTGAAGTTGAGTGTTGATTGAAGTTGAGTGTTGATTCCGCAAAGAAAAGTGATCAATTTTTCTTTAATGAAATTGACTCAAAATTCCAATGAACGATGTTCGAAATGCCGACTGCGCCACTGTTACGTGGTACCCAATAAAAACAGGTACCTATCGTAATGATGTTGTTGGATCAGGGAAAATTGATTCAATAATTAATTTAAACACTTGTAAACACTTTAATAAATACAGATACAGACACAGATACAAATATAAATGATAAATTCGTGCACTAACAATATCGAAGACGAAACTCAGAAGAGCTTGGTCTGATAGCTGGACACGTCTGTCGTTGGTGGTGAAACGGAGCCTTTATATACTCTGTTTGATTCTGTTTTAATTGCGTTGTTTTCGGCACGTGGCTATCCTTGGCCTGGTTATCTTATTTGAATGATTGATGTTCGCGGTTTCTTGTGATCTGAGATTTGCGCGTGGCACTCGCAAATTTATGTGTGCAATAAATATTCTTGGTACGTTTTTATGACTCGGAATATGCGTATTATTACTTCTTAGTAATATATGCATATTACAGTATACATTATCCGTGAATTCCAATTAATATTACAGATAAAGAAGAAACACTAAAACATTGGACATAAATTGAATGACAAATTAAAAATATACTACAAGCGTGAATCTAGGTTATACGAAATGCTATGATTCAAATTATTAATAATTGTTCCATGTTGCCAGATTGTTGGTCCAGTACCGTTCGAAATGCCCATAATTTAAGGTTTATATTTTCATTTATGTTGTAAGTAAGCGGCAACGTTGTGATGTCACCACAAGATTGGCAACTTCAAGCGCCCAGCTGTGAATACTGCACCGCAACAGGACTAGTGATGGGCACTATCAATAGCACTATCGAACTATTCGATACTCCAGCTTATTCGAATTCATTGATAGTTTTTCAAAATATTCGATTGTTCCGAACTATTCAAAACTACTTGAATTATTCGATAATTTAAAATTATTCTGTAAAATGTGAAATTAGCTTAGCTTAAATAATATTTATTTTATTTTGAGATACCTAATCACTATTGTGTTAACTGATTACTGATAAGAATAACAATTGACAAAAAACTTTAACGCGTTAACATTTTTATTTTTTATTTGATATATTCGAATAGTTTTTTATGGAAAAACTATTCGGTCATATAAAATAATATTCGACTATAATATTCGATAGTTTATGCTTACTATCGAATACTATTCGATAGTGCCCATGACTTAACAGGACTGAAACAGTCGTTGAGTAACCTTCTGTTTTCAATCATATGTTATCTTATTATTAAATTGTGCAACAGCGTGTAACGGTTTTTTATTTTTCGCTTTATTGATAATGCTATGGTAGGTAATTTGTTTCTTGTTTTTCCAATTTCGATATATTTAGCCGTACAACACTACTTTTCTGCGAGTAATGCTTAACATATTGTTATTTTCAAAAAGTACATTTTATTTTATTAATCGTTACGGTCCGGTTGTGCTGCGAGGTTCCAACGTGCAAACTCTCGCAAAACAACGAAGACAATTCTATGTTCTAATAGAGTTATAATATTTGAAAATTTAACGTTCAATTTCTGTTATCAATTATGATGGAAGGTTAGTACCTAAAAAATTTACAAACTCGCGAGTTATAATTCAAATGTATAACTATTTTAGACTAAATAGACCTATTAATAAATTGCGTGTGTTATAGGTAATGTTAATAAGTCATGTTTATAACTAATCGATAACATGAATCATCTACATCTGCATGATATATTTGTGTCACATTATATTAACAAATAAATTTCCCTCCATTTGTATTTTTACATCTGTTGGTTTCTAATTGGTATTAAAATTTTTATTTAGATTTCATCATATTGACCTTATTTAATATACATTTCATGTATTGATTACAAAAATTGTCATTATCTAACATATACTTACTGCATCCTGCATGAGTAATTCCAATATTCGTAATCCTAATCCTTAAAATTATTTAATTTTGTATTTTTATAAACTGTTTTATATATATATATATATATATATATATATATATATATATATATATATTACATTATTAAAAGTTTTAAATTCTAGTAAAAAATTGTTTAAAAATGAATCTATTTATTTAAATTGTAAAATGACATGGTTTTTCTAAAAAAAGTCTTGAATCTTGATAATTTTATTATCACAGTATTGTTTTTATGGACCCCTGTTTATGTAATAATAGTTTTCTAAATAAATAATGATATATAATATATTTATATAGTTAATTCTTTAATTTATTTCAGATATCCAAACTTGGTGGGAGGTACCAAGTATTGTACATTTTTGTAAGATGTTTAATGATATCTGTAATGGTATATTTCCTATAGATATAAATGTAAGTATATAAAGTTTTTTAAAAATGTACCATAGTTGCAATTTCGCAATAACTTATATTAGTCACAAATATATTTTATTTATACTCAAAAACTATTGTTTTAAAATTACATTTTAATATTGATAATAATAATAAATACAGGAATTTGAACAAGCAATAGAAGATAATTCAATTTTATTGGAGGATATGACAATCCGATTTATCAAAATTTGTGGTTGTCGCGATATTAATTCAAAAAAATGGTGGAAGTATATGAAAAATTTATTTCAAACTAAATGTGTCGTAAGTTTATTGAAAAAATTATTATTTTATTATATATTCTTTTAATTTAGATACAAATCTAATTTTCAATACAATGTAATTATATGTTGCCTAATAATGATCTTCTTCCCCCTATGGTCAAGCCTGGTAAATCTTAGTCAACTGACTTCATTTTTTTACCATTAATTATTATTTTTCTCAATATATTCCTTCCTTTAGTTGTTCATATTCAGTTGCGATTTTATGGACTTGTATATACCTGATGATGAATTTTTAATTCAAAACCGATTATACTTTACAAACATAATAATACTTCAGGCTAAGTTCTTATTTATTTATTAATTATTTATTCTTCATGTTTCATCTAAAAAAATAAAAATATCTGTGTAACTAACTTATACTTATTATATATTATAATTAATGATTAAGTTCTGATTTTTTAGAAATACAGCTTTGAATATTCACTTGATTCAGTAACATATTTCGATGAGTTGACTCGCAAACAAAAAGTTGATACTCTGTATATCCTATGTCATATTATTCTTGATGTCAAATCCATACAATCTAAAATGTACCATAAACGTGAAATATGGAAAGAATTAAATGTGAAACCTCTTGGTTATGATTTAAAAAATTCAGTTTATTGGTACTTCGGTAGTACACGACTATACAAAGAAGATTTTGAGAATACATTTGATCTATCTGCTAATATTCCAATATTACAAGTAAATAATTATATTAATTTTAAGATTAATAATTTATCATTAAATTACTTAATATAAATTATGTTTTTCAGAATACTGCACAAAGTATTTCTAATTCATCAAATATTGTAAGCCTTCATTTAACATTCTATATTCTTATTATATTTATACAATAATAGATGGTATAAGTGTATAAGTGTGATACAATAGTAATTTACTGTTGAACCTCTCTTATCTATCTTCTACTGGTCCACCACTATGGTTGATCTGACCATAGTATTATCAATATGAATACTTTAAAAATACATTTTGATTTTCCAATTTATCGTAGATATATAAAATTAAGTCTAAAATTTAATTTGCTAAGTAAAAATCTATCTTTTACTACGCATATGTGTATATATATACTTTCATCTGTATAATACAGAAGTTCCCAAATTTTTTTTGGGTCACACATCCCCAAAACAAAAAAAAATATTCATGCCTCCCAATAAAATATTTTTACTGTTTAAATATGAGTAAATTATTGTCGATTGAAAAAATAAATATATAGTTGTACAATATTCAATATAAATATTTGCCTTGTGGTTCCCCTAATAAGTATTTGTGCTTCTCATGGAAGGCGTGCCCACAGTTTGGAAACCACTGGTATAATCCCAACATTTAAATTTCATATGATATATAAATAAAATGTTTCTGTATATTCTAATCATGCAACCATTTCTGTATTCCAACTGTAACCCCAGTCCTAAAGATGATTGATTAGAGAGGTTCTATGGTAAATATTTTTTTTTTTTACTGTCTTAACTTTTAATAATTAATAAACTTACATTTCTTGTACCATAGACATTTTCTAACTTAATAAAATATAATAAAAATAATTTTTATAAATATATTTTACAGGGTGTCCATAAGAGCTTTCATACTAGACCATACCCATCAGGAATAGTAGGGCCAGGAAAATGGAATATGATATGTGATGATAATTATAGTAGTTGGTATTCATTAGCTAATAATACTGAATGTAGTACAAATGATAATATTAGATCTTTACATCAGTCAGTTTGTGAAATTATTAACAAATTACCAAATATAAAAAAAAAAAGGTTGTCTTACAAGTACCTCATCAAACAACCAAAGTCCCAATTAAAAAATATTCAAACTAGATCACTTCGTCCTCTGTTTAAAGTTAATTATGATGAAAATTCTGATATTATAAATGAACAAGATATACATTTTAAAAGAAGCAAAATTATTAACGATTGTTCCATAATTTCTCAACTTCCCAAAACTAGAAGAAATACAGATTTTAGTGAGCACATTAAGAGATTGAATAATAGAACATCAATGAGATTACAATTAAAAAACGTTAATACCATTATGAATCTGAATGCAAATGAAACAAATATAAATGAATCTAAAGTGAACCAAAACGATTTTGAACATGAAGATCAAGTTACTATTGAACATCATGGTCAAGAAAACACTCCAAATGTTAATAAGTTTAATACAAAATTAAAAACTTGGCATCATGTTAGAAACTCCGTGAGACTAGATGGATCGAAAATATCATCACTTAGTTGGTGAATGAATAAACTATAATTCTTTATAAATTTAATTTTTCTTAATTTAATATGTATTAATTAAAGTTATAAGTTTTTAAAACACAAAATGTGTAATATAATGTATACTAAAAATTAAAGTATGAATACTGTGTATAAACAGAATATAGTTATAACAATTATTTTATTTTTTGGTTTAATTTTTTAATTAAAAAAGATTAAGGTATAACAGTGTTTCTAAAATATTATTTTTATTGAATTTGAAAATTGTTGATTATTTTTTATGATATTTATAATTTACAAATTTTTTTTCTTGACACAATATTTTATTAAGCTCCTTATCATGACATTTAATAGTAGGTCTTTTAAATTAAACCCTATATATAAGACCCATAAACAAAAGATTCATCAATAATTATAGAAAACACAATGAACTTCAAATTAAGTTTATTTGAAACCAAATGGCAAATTTATTTTGTATTCTTTTTGAATAACACAAGAAATATATTAATTTTACCTAGCTATATTTTATTATAAATTATTTTTGTTTTTTGACACAATTTTGACCAGAATAATTTAATTATCAAAAAGAGGAATGGTTGCTGATAGCAAATTTTGTCTTATTTTTACTTTAATGATTTTTTAAATTTATTAATGTTTAATAAGTGTCAAGAAATCACAACATTTATGGAATATTTATATGCAATTTTCTTTTTTGCAAAAATTATATTCTATAGTTCACAAATCTGATAATGAAAATATAGGTTATAGTTTCAATATTTGACATCAATATTTAAAGTACTGGTTTTCAACCTTTTTAACAATGCGGCACACTTCATATCCAACAAAATGATTGTGACACACCAATCCATATATTATGTGAACCATATTTTGGGTGTGTGTGTACACTATTTACAGTCTACTCTATTAGAGAGTTATTTATTGTGAAATATATTAATACAATTGATCGATAGTGACGGTTGCGGTGGACATACTTACAATAAATAATATTATGTGTATCTACCATTAGTTCGATTAGTTTTCATCAAATATCAATAATAAGTAGGTAAATACACACTTATAAAATAATTTATAGATTTATCACAGCACCCTTCAAGGAAGCTCACTTGACCATGATGACTTATATTTTTTAATTTGTCCAAGTACTTTTACCCTCTAAACTATTTAGACTTTATGGATAACTAGGTTTAGCTTCATTCAAGATAGATTTTATAACCAATAGTACATTGATTTAAAATTAAAAATTAATCAGTCACCTTCAACCCAGCTCTTTATTTCATCTAATTCTTGTATCTCGTCCCCTTTTTGTTTTTTATTATATGAATTATCCATCCTTGCCCAATAGATATTTTATTATTTTAGATTGCTATTTCTGTGTAAAAAAAACTCTACATAGGTTAAAAAAATAGCACAATCATTACATATTGTAATTATTAGTGATATACATATATCTCGATAGTTATTTAAATTAACAAATTGGAAAAATGTATACATCTAGTTAGGAGCTCAAAATTGTTTAAACCTTTAAAAATTTAATTTTCAAAAACAAAATTCTTAGAACGCATGTAAGTAAATTTCCTCAATATTTCAAATGAATCAGTATAGTAGTTTTGGCTACACGTTGATCAGTGAGCAAGTGGTACCTAATTTAACTGTAAATATAAATTGGGCACGTTTGATTTCTTAATGTCGTTATTGATTATGTCATTATTGAAATTAACGTTATTGTTAGTATTTTAATAATTGTTCTTGGTACTATTTTTCGAATAACTAAAGTAAATTTTTTTTTCTCACGAACATTTTGTAAAAAAATGTTTTTATACTCAATCGAAAAAAATTAAATTCCAACAATGATAGGTAGGAAATAAAAAAAGTTAGGTATCTATTACAATATAACTATAGGTTTATATTTGTTCAAAAGTTACACGATCACTTCCAAAGGCCATAAGAATGTATCTATGGCAATCAAATTTTATATTATCCACTTTATAAAAGTGGCAATGAAAACCATTGTTACGGTTGACTCGGGGTTTTATGTATTAAATTTACTCCGCAATGTTCTCTATATAATACATATAATTAAAAAAAAATAATAATAATAATACATGACAATTGAATAAGTTAGTAACATCTCAGTCATATCACAAAAGTGATTCTCGTTCAGATATAGATATATTTGAATCTATGGTTTTACACTAAACATGAATAAGTACCTACTCGTAAACCGATGTCGACTAATATGGGTTTATGTACACTCTATGGTAGAGTGTGTATGGTCTATACATTCTATGGATGTATTTTTGACTGGGTCAAACTCCTACATTTTAGGCGACCATTGAATTGGCTTCCAATTTTGAGTAAATATTAATTCGGTCCTTAAATTGGCTCCCGAAAATGAATCCCACCTTTAAGCGTTGACCAATAACCGATTAATCGTCGTAATCTACTGCAATAAGCGATTATAATTGATTTTTATACACTACTTTTTTTTTTGTTGTTGCTAATACACAATAGTCGTTTTATTAGTAAATACGTGGGTGTGTGAAAATTAATTCTGTAGAGAAAATTTTAAACGAAAAGGGAAAATTAATTTTTATAGTTAATAAATACAAGTTTAGTTTTCAAAAACTCTTCCAAAATAGCTAACATCGTTATAAATATACTAAACGAGGATGCATTGCTAATTTAAAAGTATTAGATAACGAAGAAATCATGTGGATATAATAAAATTAAAAAAAAAAAAAATTAACATTATACGTCTAAAAAAAATGAAAATATGTGGCGTTGTGTTACATTATTTTTTTTATTTAGTTTTTACCGTGTAGGAACTTATATATGTACCTTTTTCCGCCGTATAGGAATTAATATACGTACCTGGTTTTTTTGGTTTTTATTATGTAGGAACTTACATATGTACCTTTTTCAATCTTAAAGGAACTGACGTACGTATTTTTTGTACCTACTAGTTGTAGGCTATTACACTCGGCTATTACATTACTACAATGTTATTAATTTTTAATCCATGTGATATTAAATATGATAAAAATAAGAACTATTTTTTTAGTTTAAAACTAAAGAAACTGAAAAATAAATTTATTTTAAATAAATAAAATAAAATTTACCAAAGTAACTTGATTTCTTTATTTAAGTATTATGTGACTTAAATGTTGAAATTTAATAAATTTCTATAAGAATACAATATACTAATATAATACATAATATTATAAGCTATTTCTTTCTCTCTCTCTCTCTCTCTCTATATATATATATATATATTGTATGTATACATATTTATCTACGTATATGTTTTAAAAAGATGCATTGTTATAGCTTGTATAAGATCAATAGATTTCTCGATAGGAATAAATACATACTAGTAGGTAGGTATGTATAGTTTCCAACAGCTTAGGATCTAATAAATATGACGAAACATCAAAACGTACAAATATAGTCATTCCACAACACTATTGTTGACTATTTATATATATACTTTTGTATAAATTGAAATAATATAAGTTATGTCTATGGTATTAAGTATTTTAATTAAATCTTGGTCAATCAATACAAATTAATAAAAAGTTTTACTCAATTACTTAATATTAATAATAATAATAATAATAATAATGAAGAAATGAGTTAGGTACTATTTTTTTTTAATTATCTTTTAAAATTTGACTGTGTAATGCAGTACTCGTATTTCAATGGATGACACGTAATATTTAATGTATCATAATCGAAGTTATGTTAAACATTTTTGTAACCTTTTGTAATATTTTTTACAAATATACGCAACCCTATAACTTACTTATATATACATATAAAAACGAGGACAACTAGTAAGGGTCAAGGACTTCAGGTAAAGATGCAGGATATTTCCAATAATCACAATATTAAAATGACATTCAAATATCGTAACATCACTGTATGGAAATATCGCTTTCAATGTTTTTTTATTTATTTTCATAAGTTCTTGTGCATAATTTTAACATTATGGAAACACGTAACTAGGAAGAAGAGTATAAATAAATAGAAACAATCAGGAAATGAGGTTATTACACCTTGTATGTTTATTAAAAATCAAATGACCAAGGTTAATTCTCGCCCACATAAAAGTAAGCAAAATAATTTAATGCTATTTACTTCGGGAATAATTGGATGATTCATTTGGGTATTTTTTATTTTTTTTTTTTACATTATATCATGCATGTAAATACTATAAATGACCATAAGAATCAAGGACGAACATTTTAGCAGTAAACTCTTCCTGGTGTATAAAGGGTTAAAGTAATATTTTCTTAAATTAATTCCAAATTAAATATTTATTATTTATTTTCATAAAAAATCAATCATAATATTGTTCGCTATGTTTGTCAGTCTTTGTAACTATTTCCAATGTATTTAAATCATATTCAAAGGGCTTTGATCAGTTAAATTAATTAATTAATAAATAAAAATGCAATAATCAACTTATATTGTTTTAAGTATTAAAGTAGTGAAAAATGTGTACCAATATAGGTATACTGTACAAACAAAATTTTGAAATTTCATAAATCGTATAATTACCTACTTATATGAAGTATATCATTGTCAGCTAAGTAGTTCTAGATAAATTGCTTGAAATACATTACCAACAGTAAAAGTGCATTATAAAATAACTAATAAGAGGATAATTGGAAATATTTAAAGTGATTTAAAAACAACTTTCATAATTGCTTTAAGTCTTGGAATTGTTTATAAGGGGAAGAGTTCCTAAGAATACCTAATTAGATTTATAGAAATCTTAGGTTATTTTTGAGAGATTTTTATAAAAATTTGTCTAAAAATATATTTTTAAACAACATAATAAGGCCAAAATTTATAAAACAATCAGTTTTTTTAGCATGTAAGATAAAAATTAAGCAAAAGTACATCTCAATCATGTTGTGATAAAGCATAGGCGCAACTAGAGCTCTCATTTTGGGAGGCTATAAGTACCAAGATAACACAGATCCACAGAGCTACGCCTCCACACCTCATCTACTAATTAACATACAGACAAAATTTGTCACTACTCACTACAATAAGTTCAGTTCATATTTTAGTAAGACTAGCCTTCATAATTTTTCTTTAGACAAATCCGCAGTAATTTACATTCATAATACATGTACACAAATTCAACTTTATAATTTAAATTTTATTTTAATACAAAAAATGTTCTGTCTTTAATACAGAACATTTTTAAAATATCTTTATTATTTAATGAGTTTTCAATATTCCTCTCGATATTGAGAACAGACAAATTTGTAAAACGGTCTAGTAGCGTATTAACTTGTAATATGTATTACCTACTTGTATTTGGTATATAGCTGATGGGAATACTTATTGCCATTTGTAATATATCTTAAAGATTGAGATAAACATGTTTTCAATCAATTTACTAATATAATTTATAGCAAAATCAACTTCGATAGTTTTCATACTTGCTACAGTAATTTCTGATTTTAAAGGATGACTATCTATTATTAAAACATTAAACATTAAAACATTAAAAATTAAATATTACAATCAATTTATTTAAAATTTTAATTTAAATTTTTTTCAAGATGTTTTTAATAGATTTTTAAATAATATTTTAATAATCTATTTAGAAAAAAGATAATTGAAAAATGTAATATATAATATATAAATATCAATAATTATTTACTGTATTGAAATTATAGACATAGATGATGAGATTTTATATCAACCTCAAACACAAAATTCTAAGATTCATTATTTATAATACAGGAGGGTTTTGGAAGTATTAATTAAGAGGACTAATCCATCCAAGCCCCCCCCTAGTTGCGCACTAAGTGATGATGGAGGCGTGATATCATAAAATATTATGAAAGAGGCATGAACTTTAAAAGGTCGAAAACCCATGTTCTACATCATAATCACATACCTAGAATGATACTACATTATTTGTGTGAAATTAAACGTACATTTTGTCCATAAATTAATGTTTACTGAAATCGCACATAGTGACGTACATTATAATGTTAACGAAAAATAACCTTGGTTATTAATAAGATTTTGTTAAAATTTAAAATACACGTGTAATTATGTTAAATACAAATATCATTATTTAAAATTGTATTATTAGTTTTACAATAGCCAACCATTTAATTTAAATAAATACTACTTTTATTATTCTTATGGTATTTACTTCTAAGAAGTCGACGATTAAAATGATGACATCATATTTTACTTTTAATTCAATATTTAATTTATGATAAATTACTACATATACTTATTTTTTTAATTGTTATTAAAAAGGAATTTTTAAATTGTTTTCTATCTTAGCAACACAAAATACCCTCACGATTAAGTAAATTTTAACTCAACCCCACCTTCAGTCCCATACTGATCACCTTAAAATGTACAATTACAATAATTAAGAATATTGAAAATGTACGTTTTATTTAATTGCAACTACCGGTTTGTGAATCGTAAATATCATCAGACACCAAGTTCATACCATATTGTCCTTGAGAATCGAAACAACCTTATTTGCAATCTGGTGGGAAGATTATAAAATGGTAGGGTTCGAAGTGTAATGTTACAGTTTTCATTTTGATTTTGTAGTAGTAAGTCTAGCTATACTTAGGAGACTTATAAAAAACATGTTTGTAACACAAAAAATGTTTGTCTACAGCAGTTTTGTGCTCGTTGTTGTTTTAGTATTCGCACAAGCTATACCTGTTCCAGTGTCCGAGGAAGTACATCCAGGTAATTATTTATATATTTTGAATTTTAAAGAAATATTAATATCGTTGATATATTACAATTCATAAATATATTGATACTATTCATTAAACGCAATTATTGAAAATGTAATTAAAACATTTTAAATAATATTATATGGTTTTATAATTTTTTTTTACATTCATACTACATAATATTACCATTGATAAAATTATAAAACCAATGACAATTAAAAATTATCAATATACTTTGTTTGAAAGTTTTTCAACTTGATAATTTAATTAATTAATTAATTAATTAATAACTTAATGTGTACAAATTGTTTTTACTCGAAATTTACTTATACCTACCTATTATACTTTTTATTTAATTTAGGTATTAATTAAATTATTAAATATATTTTGGTTTTTACAATGATTATTGTTATTTTTATGCTTCAGAATACAGACAGTTCGGGTTTTCTCAAGTGGTAGGATTTCCGAGTGAACCGCAAGTGTCTGTTATTGAAGTAGTGGAACCTGCAGCAGCGGTTAGACCCGTACGATCAGCCAGTCCGTTTTTTGGTCTCCTTGGCGGATACGAAAGACCGCACAAGAAACAGCACAACCATCATCACTATAATACCCATGAAGAATATGAGCCTGAATATCATAGACCCCAACACCATAAGCCACAACATCATCAGCAACAACAAGGTGGCGGTGCAGGAAGTTTTGCTTCAGCTGGAAGTTTTGCAGGAGGACATGGTGGTGGCCATAGTCAAAGTGCGGCAAACAGTCAATCCGCTAGTTTTGGATTTGGCCCATTCCAAGCCAGTTATTCGGCAAGTTCAGCACACTCGGGTAGTCATTCCAACGTAGGGTGAGTTTCCAAAAGGAGAAATATTTTTTTTAAAAAAAAAAATTAAGCAATTAAAAAAAACCAAGAAAGAAAATATTAATTTAAAAAACGCAATAAAAACCTGTACTTATATACTTGAATAGCTAAAAATTAATTTTACCTAAGTTATAAGTCAAATAAATAATTATTTTTACCAGACCTATAGGAATATCTTTTACAAATTCAATCATAAAATAAACAAGATTTTTACTAAAAAAAATTAAATAAATCAATAAAAAAAACTTTAAAAAAATTAATTGGACGTATTCTCAACTCACTTTTATGTAATTGCTATTACATTTAATATTAATTTTAACATTTTTGAAGAGGATTTACGACACACTACCTACCATTTGTGCAAACAGTGGGGCTTGGAGGGCTTAGACCCCTAAATTACTGTTAAATTCTTATAAAGTATAAAGTTAGTTATAAAAAATATAAATTTTTTTTATCAATTTAATATGGAAGATTTGAACCCCCCTAAAAAAATGTGGGTTATTTTCACTTATGCTACCCACCCAAATCGTGGATAGTATAACGGTTTTTTTGTTCAACCTGACCCTTAGAAACTTCGACATAAAATGTATAGGTTACTTGTATTATTTATAAACCTATCAGATAAATCTAGTTTTATTTAAATTTATACATTATCGAAAAATTGGATAATTTTTGAAATAATATCATAAACAATGTGGGTATTAATAATTATCGATAAAAATAAAACAATTAAATCTTACTTAAATTCCTAGTATGTGTATTTATTAAAAAAAACTATTTTTAATATTTTATAATTTTTCAGATTTTCCGACTACGATTAAGAAATTTCCAGTAAAGATTTTAATTGTAAGCACAATTAACATTAGGTTGTACACCTAACCTCTTGTACAGATTAATTTATTTGTTTTATATGTGTATAATTTAGTGCTATTGAAGAAAACTGTATTTAATTGAAATTTCAATGTTGGCATATAGAACTATGACATTAGTTTGATTTTTTAAATGATTTACAATGAATTTTTATATGGAATTGAAATAAAGTTCCACGTTTTTTAATTAGTGTTTTTATTTATAAAACTTATTCTCCATACGAAATAATTTTACTTGAAATTATAAAATTACTTACGTGTAGAAAGATCAAACAGGTAGTATGTATAATCATGTATTACAGTGGCGTAGCTAAAATTTTCTGAAGGGGGGTGTTAATTATAATTATTAAATATTATATATAATACGTACAAACTAAAACTTTTATTTTAATTAATTAATATGTATACATAATGTCTGTAATAGAGATGTAATATATATTCGAATTCGGATAGCTTTACCATAAACTATTCGAATATTTGACTATTCGAATATCAGTATTCGATGCTACAATACCTATTATTATTAAACGTTATGTGTTGCACGAAAACGTAAACGAATAATTTTCGTCACGTATTGTCGCAATCGCGATAATGTTAACCTGTATATATGTAATTAGTATTGTGCATTATTTTATATTTCATATTGTATTATCGATTTACCTATATTCCTATAATAATGTAATATATGATACGGCTCAAGGGGGGTGTCATATCTACCAAACACCCCCCTTGTATACGCCATTGATGTATTCATTATGATAAAATTGATATTATAGATTATTGAGAACTTTTTTTTTAATATTGATATATTATTATTTGATATATATTATTTGAATAACCATACAATTAATTGTGGCTCTACTTATGTATTAATATGTACTTAATATGTTAATAATTACTTTTTACGGCGATCGTTGTCCTTTTAACTAAGAAATTATATTATGAGAATACTACATTATAATTTGTATATATATATATGTATATAAGCTCAAGGGTAACAATTTTTTTATTTAAACTATAAAAAATATAAAATCCGTTGTTTTTTTGGATGTTGTAATAACTACGAGTATAATGATAGAACATAATTCATCTGATTTATTATTTTACTTCTGTTTTTAATAGCGATTTCAGCAGAGTGTTGATTAGTACCAACACCCTTAATTTCACACTCCCTAAATGTTATACGAAAAAAAAATTGATATTTCTGGTGGTATTCCACTAAACAGTATTTAATATAGTATAATATATACAATAACAAACTATATTTCTGACATAATATTTTTCAATAGCCTCAAGTATGGTTTTTGTAAATTATAAATACCTATTTGTAACATTTCACACGAAAATAAAAACAACCAATTTCATATTTTCATCAACAGTTATAATAATAATAAGTGTAATAACCTTGGAAGACATTTTTATGTCATAATTTGAAAATATAATACGTATAGCCCGAGAAGAAAAATGATTTACCATAACATTGGCTTAAGTATTAAAATACATTTTATGTATGGAAATATGGTAATTTGACACCAATGACTGATTATTTATTACCAAATATTTTTTTAATAAATTAAACATAAATAAAATATAAACAAATAGTATATTGGAAATCGGAATTCTTAATATAATTTATTTGTATACACATTGTTTGCCGTTAGGAATTAGTGTATCCCCCCATTGGTTTTAAAAAAATAATTCATAAATCAATTGTCATACCTTATACCTAGTATATATTTTATTATATCCAAGATTATTACCATAGTTATATTTAGTGTGGTGATTTCTAGAATTCAGTGACCACCAAAATTACATTGCTTTTTGAAATATATATCCTACTAGATACGATACTACCATAAATTGTAATGTTTAATTGAACCTCCTTAATAATAATAGGCTGGAATGCTGGGTTATTTATACAGCTAACTTATATTATTAGTAATTGTATTTCCACGTATTTTATGTTATAATAGGGTCTTGTAGTTTATAGATTAAATAGATTATAGGTATATAAATATTATGTAAGTAAATCGTATATCTATTTTTTTTTTTTTTTTAATGATCTTGTGTATTAGGTAGGTATAAGTTACAAGTGTATTAATACTCGTGACTTGTTTGCGGAGACATGATCTCTTAACAAAAATCCCGAGTGGTCAGTCATCTAATCTAACCTGAAGTGTGGCGCGTGTATACTTTCGTAAAATCTAATAAAATGTACACGGTGGATGTGGAAAATTAAAACTATGGTTTAAATGTATCTATACAACTTGTATATGTACTTACCGACTACTGCTATTTAAGTATTTGTTAATAATACTTAACTCAGTTAAGAATGTAATGGTAATTATATGTTTATACACATACTTCAAGCACACATTAAATACTATGATATGCAAGTGTTAATAACTAAAAATACCATATGAGGTAGGTTTCTATTCCTATTTTCTATTTGCCGAAGTTTAAATTCTGCACTGAGTACAGATAGATACAGTTTATGTATTATAAACCAATCACCCAGCTAACATCATCATTTGAAAAACGACCAATTTTCGACACTCGCAACAATAACTTTTATAACTAGTGATGGCCACTATCGAATAGTACTATCGAACTATTCGATAGTTCAGCAAATTCGAATTATTCGATAATTACGAATTATTCAATATTATTCAATAGTTCAAATTAATCGAAACTATTCGGACTATTCAATAATTTCAAATTATTCAATTATTCGATAGTTTACGACTTTTGAATTATTCAGTAAAATTTGAAATTAGCTTAGCTTAAATAATGTTTATTTTATTTTGAGATACCTAATTACTAGGGCCCGGATTTTTATGCAAATGCATATTTTTCTAGAATAATTTTGATTATAAATGTCGACGTTTCGTAATGTAAAGTCTAGGGTTAATTTTTTTTTTGCATATTTTGCATATTTAAATGCAAATGCATATTTGCTGCATATTTCTTGATAGTTGCATAAATATTGCATATTCTACAATTCGTAGAATTTACGTCTGTAAAGATATCTACTGTCGATTGTAAATAACCCATTATTCATCGATATGCGATTGTCAATCGACATCATCGTTATCGACGGCCGACGAATGACGACAAATATTGGATATTTCTTAATAAAGAGTTAAAAAATGAGCTCGTCGTCATTACAACACACTTTCAGTGTTTAATAGATACAATAATAAAACTAGAGAAATCGAATGTTACTTTAAGAGATAGTTTATTGCTCATAGAAAATATTAAAATTAAATTCGAAGGAGGGCCAGGGATAGATTTTGCTAGATCTAAACTTACAAATGTGTTGTCAAAAAATCGTGGATATTCTACATTGAAAAAAATCGATGGTATAATCAACGGCGAGGTAATTGAATGTGATGAAGACGAGAAACTGCCAGTTGAAGATTTATCGAGTCTTAAATATGCACCAATTGTATCTTGTGACGTGGAAAGAAGTTTTTCCAATTACAAAAGTATGCTTCAAGATAATCGTAGGAGTTTTCAATTCGAAAACTTGAAATCCATATTTATAATTTCATGCTGGTACTCGTCCAATAATAATAATTTAATACAAATAGTAATAGGTACTTTAATTAATTTATAATACTTTTATACTTACACAATGTCATTAAAAATGTTATTTTGCATTTTTTTTTTCAATAAACAATTTTTATACATAACATATTGTTAATTTGTAAAAAAAATCATTTTGTATATTTTTTGCATATTTATGATATGAATTTGCATATTTTATAGATTTTTATTGCATAAAAATTCGGGCCCTACTAATCATTAATGTGATAACTGATTACCGATAAGAATAACAATTAACAAAAAAACGTTAACGTTTTGATTTTTTATTCGGTCATATAAAATAATATTCGATAGTTTATGTTTACATGCTTACTATCGAATAATATTCAATAGTGCCCATCACTTACAACAAACTACAATTTAGCATGAACACACAATTATCCTAATACCTAGTATTATCCAATCGATTATCCTATCCGTTACGGCGGATAATTTTGTTTCCATATTGGAAACCGGGTCGAAAAATTTTAATTAAAAAGGAAAAAATGATAACGTCGGAAAATTAAAAACGAACGCGGGGGAAACGAACATTTAGGTTTGACAGCCTGACTCGGCTACGGCTAATCGTATCGTGACGTTCTCCACGTCCGCAGCCACAGCCGGCAACGTCATTAAGCCCATTGGTCGTCGTGTGTGGACGCGGAACGATGGAGCATTAGTGTAAGACGTGTCCGTTACTTTCATCTCGTCGTTATTCTCTCCTTAACGTTTTTACGTTTGGTCGTCATCGCGTTGCTGCTTACCAAAGAAACCGATACAATGAAGTTCAAATGGACGTTGTTGTGCTTATCCCTGCTCGTGGCATCCGCAGGTATTTTTGTCTTGTCGGCATTTTACACCGACCATCGTGTCATATCCTTGCATATCCATTTTATAGTAATAAATTTACTGACCTAAATTGTTGTGTTCGGTCATATTTACAGGTTTCGTGAGGGCCGAAGATGAAATCGATACGGACGAAGAGATGATTGTCAGCGAAGATCAAGTGTTGGTTGAGACTGAAGGAGACGAATCCATTCTTGAAGATGTTGAACCAACTGATGCTGATACTTTCTTACTGTTCACCAAACCAGTATTTGAGGAAAAAGCTAGTATCGGTAAGTCATATTATTTTTTTTGTCTCTATTAACTTATCTCTTTTATGAATCTTTTAATGATGTATACTGACAAAATATTTTTACTGTGAATCTCTTTACATACAGATATTTTAATAAAAATCATTTGAAACATAATGTTCATGTTCTTTCATAATTTTTTTTCTACATTTTTTCAAACTAGTATAGTAATAAAATATAAATTTACAGTAACTTAAAGTTATAATTGATAAGGTTTTAGTAAATTTTAAAATATATTTATTTATACAGCTTTGTTTATTATTTTCACTTAATATATTTTAATACTAAGCTGATTGTGTGTATCGATCTACATGTTATAGTTACCATTTTTAGTTATCTATTATAATATATTCTAGCATCTTAAAGTTAATTTAAATTTATGTATAAAACATTTCATGCTAAAATGTAAAATTTACTTCTATGAAAATATATTATTTGATATTATTTATTATTATCTATTTAACATTAAAAATAAATAATTTTAAAATTGAATAGATAGTCTAAAAATATTTTAAAATACATTTAAATATTTATTTTTGTAACATAATTTATGTATTTAATGTTTTTAGAACTACCAGCTGGTCGTTTGTCTGAATTTCTTGTGGGATTCACCAATAAAGGATCTAATGACTTAGTCTTAGAAACATTGGACGCTTCACTTCGTTACCCTATGGATTTCAATTTCCACATTCAAAACTTCACTACAGTTTTGTTAGAGAAAACCATTCCACCAGGTTCTCAGGCTACACTTGGCTATGCTTTTATTCCAGCTGATGCTTTTGCTGGGCGTCCATTTGGACTTAGCATTAATCTCGCTTATAGAGATATTGTAAATCATTAATTTTAATAATTTTGTAATGATATATTAAAGTTATGTTATGTTTAGGAAGGAAAACAAATGATTAGTAAACTGTACAATGATACTGTAAATATCATTGAAGTTGAAGAAGGCCTGGATGGTGAAACTTTGTTTTTGTATGTACTTATGGCTGCTGCATGCGTTCTTCTTTTGGTCTGTGGTCAACAATTCCTTTATTCCGTGGGCAAGAAACGTGTTGGTGGTGGTTTACCTAATCGTACTAGAGCTAATTTGGAAACTGGAACAAAAAGCAGCAAACAGGTTGATATGGACTGGGTGCCTAAGAATGTTCTTAACCATTTAAGTAAGTTTTATTTTTAAATAACATTAAAATTTTTAATAAAAAAAAATTGTATTGCTATTGTTAGTTTTACTGAAATATTATAATATCAAATTTCAACATTGTAAAAAACTTGGTTATTTTACATGAGGTAATTTAATGTAATTTTAATTTAAAATTAGAAAACTGACAAACTAAGGGCAAATGTTGGTGTATTTTTGCTTTTTCCTGATTTTGAATATATTTTATACTAAAATGTGTTTTTAATATTTTTAATAATTATTTGATAAAATTTGAGTCCCTCAATCACTCTACTTTTATTTAAAATTGTTATATGGTTATTTTCTGCCTTCTGCTTATGTCACATTCCAGAAACGTACTGATGTAAAGTATATTTGGTTTGAATGAAATTATAAACAAAGTGACAAGTATCTTTTTATTACAATTATAGGGAAGTTTGAATCGACAGGAATTTGGAACAAGTTTTATATGTCATTCTCCTAATTGATTGTGTTGATACTCTACACATTTTTTATGTAATCAAATTTTCATTTAAGGTTTAAATATGTTTTTTTTTTCTGTAATACATTGTATGAATATTCCACGCTATGCTATTTATATTAATAGTCTTATTTTAATTATGGCAAGACAATTTGCTATAACTCTGTTTAAATTAAATTAAAGGTATAAAAAAACTTAATATTTATTGTATAAAAATGTTTTTTATTTTAGACAAACAAAAAGCTCAAAGTCCTAAACAAAAACGTGCAAAGAAAACGGATTAGTTGAACAAACCAAGACTTAAATTTTACACGTTTTGCACAATTGAATGTGATTAATTGTCAGTTTCTTTCAATGGAAGAAAGTTTATACTAATATTAAATGTTGTGATTCCATCTGCACATATTGTATAAAATAAGAGTACATTTTTTACGTATTTCTTTTTTTTGTTATGTAAATAGATACTAAGTAAATTGGTTTTCTATTGTAATTATTAAATTTATTGTTTTGTTTTTAATAACTAATTAAGCGAAATAATATAATATAATTGTATGTTTAATGTTAAATTATGTTTTTGTACAGATCATACTTTCAGATAAAATTTATACTATACAGATATCAATAAATTTATTTTTTAGTTAATTAACTATGTGAATCCTATGGTAAATTTTACGTAGTATATCTAATTAATTTTGTATAATACATTTATTCAAAAATGTATTTGTTTTGAAAATAAAAAAACCTTCAATTAATTTTTACTTTTAATAGTTATTATTTAATATTTTAACTCATTGTTAAATAACCTAGTCTTTGATCTATGGGTGTTAAACCCGGGGTACATTCAAGTGTTATATCTTAAAAAGATTGTAAACTTCAATTCCTATACAGAAATAAATATTTAGGTGGTAGTTTATTATCATGGTTTTAAAGTTTACTTACATATGTATTATTTAATATTTTAATAAATTATCTTAACACATATATTGTAATTATTTACTATAGCTACATTGGTTTTCAAGATCAATTTTTAACATCAATCTAATCTAATATAATCTAATCTATATTGAATATAAAATGTCTTCAGAATATATGTTGAAATTTATTGATGTGCTATATTGTATTATAATAGATATTTGTAAAAATAAAAGTAGTGTAATCCATAAAAATTACTAATTATTTTTTCTTAATACCAATGATAATATTTAAAGAAAGCATGTATAAAACAAAAATTACTAGTATTTGCATACTATCATATATTTTTTGGGATCGCGGATAATTCACCATATGTACAATTCACTGGTTACAATTCGTTGTGGATATAGTACAATTTATTAAATAGTAAATAATAATAACAAAGTATAATTATTTAAATTTTATTTTCTGATAATTTACGCACTTCCATATTCATTTAAACCTTGTTTTTCAAGTATATAAATATACCCTTTTAATTTATCTTTACCCATTCACTTTTAATATTCTATATATTATTCACACTATAAAATTAAGTACTCTCGTAAACGTTAATACATGTACAGGACGATGCCAACACAATAATTCAATAATCAGTACCTAATGAATGTAATCGTATAACATCTATGCCAATCTGGTAATTTTTAAATTTAGAATTTTGGATAAGGAAACCAATATGTATCAGTAGGATAAGCTTAATGGCCCATCATATAAATAATGTATACATATGTATCAGGGGCGGCTCCAGAGCCTTAATTAGAGGGGAGGCGAGTTATAATTTTACAAAATTGTATAACAAAAAGAAAACAATTTTTATAACACAAATTCAAGTAGACTATTTTTAAAATTGGCAAAAATATCAATAATATGATCTATTTGATTTAGAATATCTACATTATCATATACATTAATAAGACATAATGCTGATAGTCTATGTTCAGTCATCCTTGAACGAGATTAGTCTCCGAATGGTGAAGAAACTACTTTCAACCGTCATACCTTTATGGCTCTATTTACATACTTGTGTGTGTCATATGATAGTCCATATTATAATATGCATTTTTTGTTAAAAATATAAATTTTTTTATAAATACGGTACGGGCTTGTGAGGGCCCCTAGGGCCCCCTCTGGAGCCACTCTTGATATGTATAATGAATTATATGCGCGGTGAATTGTGCACGCGGTGTGTTGTAAATGCGGTGAAATGTTGACGGTGAATAGTCACGCGGGAACAAGTTTTCTTTAAAGAAATATGTGTAAATTATATTAATTACTCATAAAAATGTTTTTTTTATCAGTTAAAATTGATAAAAATCTATTGTATATATAACTTATCAGTGGCGTATACATAACTTTTGATATATATATATATATATATATTGAATGTGTCAGAATAATAATTTACAAAAAATCCTTGCTATATTTTTTTGTTTCCTTATTATTTCCTTATATTAAGAACACTATTTTATACAATTTTAAAAAGACGTATGGGGGAATCTGACCCCCACATACCCCCTTATATACGCCCCTGTAACAGGTTACATTTATTGATTGCTTAAATATTTTAACATAAAATTTTTTTCTGTAATACAAGTTCTCTCAAATATTATGTAAACTGTATTTAAATATATAATTTTCAATTATATAAATTATTAATTATTATTATGTAATAAATAATATTTTTATACGTATATTTATTAAAACATAGTATAATTTATAATTAATGTAATTGTGGATTTTGTAACCTACTGTTAAACGTTAAAAACATACAAAACAAATTGACTAACATTAGTTATCACTTGGGCAAATGTATATTAGCCATTATTCATACTGAAATAAAATTGTTTGTGCTAAAAATGTTTCTATTCAATATTTGATTTAAAGGTAACTTATATTAATTACGAGAAGTTGATGGAACAATGGTTAGAGTCATATGTTTTATGTTTTATTCGTTAAGCACGGGTGCATATACAAGGGGGGCTATTAGGACTGAAACCCTCTTCCTTTTAGACATTAGGCAGAACTATATTGAATTTAGGTACTTAAAATATTTAAAAAATAAGACATAAAAAGACTGTACAAATCGACATGCACAACGAATTATGGCAGAAACTCACTGTACTAGACCCCCCTTTTTTAATTTCTAGATTCGCGCCTGATACACATTTTTTCAAAAATATTGTGAAAAATTACAAAATATTTATCTTATATTATAATTATTATAAATAATAAGAATGCCTGAGATATTTAGTAGTACCTGTGATCCTGATCACACTGTATATTTACAATGAAAACAACTTTTTATTTAGAAAAGATAATACACATCTCACAACTTTAATATTTTCAAGTAATTTTTTTTCGTGACGACTGACACATCTTCTCAGTATATTTTAATCATACCATATATTAACTGTACTAATATAATCAGCTATATCAGTGGATTATAGCAATCTGATTCTATAAGTATCAGGAGCGTACCAAGGATTTTTTTATGAAGGGGGGGTCAACATTTTTTATTTCATCTGATAATGGGAAATTAAAATACACTAAATACTATTATTATACTATTTACTATTAAATCGTTGAGTATGTAGATATTTCAATGGGGGGGGGGGGTCCGGGCCCAACATCCCCCTTGGGTATGCTCTTGATAAGTATAATATATTAATATCATCATAGTTTATAAAAATGGTAGTAGTATTAAGTATTAACGATAAAAGTTTTCCAAAAATGTACAAAAATACACCCACCCTATATTTTTGGAGTGCAATGCACCTTTTGTAATAACTGCCAAGCCGCCTCTATTTATTTTTACTTGGCATTTTTATTTATGAATTTTACTAGGTATTGATTGACTAATTTGTGAGGTTTTGAATGATTTTTTGTTGGTAGTATTGAACAGTTATTTTGTTTGGGTAATTTGGTTTTTGGTGGTTCTTCCGAGGTTGTAAATATAACGGTAGAGTATTCATTCGAGATCGGAGCTTTTAATTTTACATTTACTAATACTGTTTACTAATATTGTTGTGCGCAATTGTTCTAGGTTATATTTTTGTTTGGTTGATTTTAGGTAGTGTTGAACAGCTATTTAACTCCTTTGGCTTCGAATTAGGGAATTGTTTTTGTTATTTGATGTAGGTCTGTTTTTTGTTTTTCGAATTTTTTTTTTTTTTTTTGTGATTTTGTATTTATTTGTTTGATGGAATGTCTCTTTTGTGGAGTTGGATATATCTTTTGTCTGTTTTTTATACGTAGTAATTCTATAATTTCTTTTGTTTGGTTGTTTTGTAGGTAGTAGTCAACTGCTGATCAACTCTTTTGGCGTTTAACTAGGGAATCGTTTATACTATTTGTTACAGGTCTGTTTTAGTTCTTCGGCTTTTGTGATTTGTTTAGGTATCTGATATCCCCCAGGGAACACGTTCTTACGAGTTTACGGGTCTTAGCAAACCCGGGGTCCCGAGCTCTTGTTTGGTTGTTTGTAGGTAGTGTTGAACTACTGATTAATTATTTTGGTGTTTAATTAGGAAATCATTTGTACTATTTGTTACAGGTCTGTTTTTGTTCTTAGGCTTCTGTAATTAGTGTTAGGTATTTTTTATCACCCAGCGAATCACATTCGTACGTGTTTACGTGTGGTAGCGAAGACGGGGGTCTCGAGTTGTTGTTATATTGTTTTGTAGGTAGTGATGAACAGCTGTTCAACTGTTTGGGCTTCGAATTAGGGAATTGTCTCTACTGTTTGTTATAGGTTTGTTTTTGTTCTTCAGTTTTTTGATTTGTATTAGGTATTTGTTTGATGGAATGTCTTTTTTGTGGTGTTGGATATATTTGTTGTCTTTTTTTTATGCATTTAAGTTCTATAATTTCTTTTGTTTGGTTGTTTGTAGGTAATGTTGAATAGCTGTTCAACTCTTTTGGCGTGAAATTAGGGAATTGATTTACTATTTGTTGTAGTCCTGTTATTGTTCTTCGGCTTTGTGATTTGTTTTATGTATTTGATGGATTGTGCTTTATGTGGTATTGGATATATATATTGTCTATTTTTATTAAAGATATTTTTTGGCTTTTTCACAATTGTACTATAAGTTGTGTTCAATTGTTTTTATTTTTATTTTCAGAACTTGGATTTTTCTTTTGGTAAAATTTAAACCATGGATTCTTTGAGAGTTAGGTGACCACTTTTGATTTTTATACTTTAAATATGTTATGTTATAAAAATCAAATTAATTTAATTTACATCAAATACCTTAAAACTTTTAAATCATATGATTCAAATTAACTAATAATAATAATTTTTTAATAAATCACTTTCATAATTATAAAATATAATTCAATTTTTATTAATTAATTAAATTTAATTTCAGTATATTCAAATTTTATTTATTTTATTTTTATGTTTCTTTTCAAAATTTGGATTTATTTTGGTTTCAATATTTGGTTTATAACTATCAGTTAAATAAATTTGGA